AGTAGTTGTGCATATGTGTATGTGTGTGTGGGGGGGTTATTGAATGCTGTTTTTTTGCTGTGTATATATCCACAATTTCTAGGTATGTGATCAATTTTCACGAAGTCTGTTGCAGATTTCAAAAATGATCATAGGAAGAAATGACAATCCTACAAGTTAGTTAGTTAGTTATTTTACCTACATGTGAAACATGAATTAAAATTTCGCGGAAAAACAAAAGCATGAAATCAATGTTATATGCTGAAAAAACTTTTGATTAGAAACATGCTTTACTGCGTCGTGTATAATTCTGCACGAGTGTAAATTAAATCTGCTTCCATGACAACCCATTTTCATTTCATTTAAAACCTTTAAAGCTCCAAGAGGAATGAATATAGGTGGCTTCAGGTTTGAGTTTTAAAGTGTCAATAGTAATTATTTATTTATTATCCCCTTCAGTTTTGAGTGGAGTATATGGCTTCAACGACACGTCTCCACATTCCTCTATTTTCTGCTGTTGTCTTCATCTGGCTGGCTCTACGATTGCTTATAATCTCTTATCTCCCACCCTCCTCGCCACAAGATTTCTTTCATGTTACCCTTACACTGATGACCCATTCGTCGCTTCAATTTCACATTCCTGTAGTGTGATGGCATGCGCCGACGGCCTTCTCAGCGTATGCCCGATCAGTGTATCTCTATTTTCTCCTACATATTTGTGTTGGGGAATCGGCTCTGGTTGGTTTGTTCTCAGCCAGCCAGCCAGTGTGCAGTTCTGTTAATTCCCTATTTGCAGTCTTTTAAACCCGATAACCTCTCTTCAAACTCTATGGGCAGTATGGAAAAAGGCCAAAAAGATTTAAGTGATTGCAGTTTAATGTCATATAGAAGAAATGAAAAAGTACAAAAAATGACAGTTTAACTTAACTCATCTGTGAACTCAACTAGCCGTATTCACAGCGTCTCATTATAAGTGGTACCAAAGTAATCTATGTCATGTTTCCAGTCCTTTGTGTTGTCAACGACTGAATTTCATCATGAGTTCACACTGGTTAGAGAACCATATTTTAGAAAACTTTCAGGGAGTACTGGACAGCTTTTACCTCTTAGTTTTATTTATTTTAATATTTTTGATAACAGCTTGATTCCACACTTTATTTTTTTGAACAGGTTTGAAATTTTCAGCATACCATATCGGTAGCCCATAGATATCAGGTGTGCGTCGGCAGGGGATCGAACCCCTGATCATAAGCATGGTCGGCGAAAGTCGTAACCGCTGTGCCACCGACGCTCTTCATTAATACCCAGCCACCTACAGGTTTCAAACTCATGACCTTTCGGTTGCAAGTTGAGCCCTTCGATTGTCAACTAGCTTGTCTCGTAACCTGAAGGTTGTGGGTATAACAGCTGGTTGGCTCATCGGTGCATTCTGTTGAAGAGTTGCAAACTAAAACGAAATAGCCATCCATTACCCTCTAGGTGATTCTCCAATGGTTCTCTAACTGATGTCAATTGATGATGAAATCCAGCAACCAGTCAAATCTCTGCTCACCAACACTGAAATTCTATCAGTCAAGTTTGAAAAGTCTTCTCCTAGCTATGCAACTCAACATCACAGTGTCTATTGGCTGGAGGCAATTGGTGAAATATCCCACTGCAAACCATTTTGGAGAGGGTGACTTTTTTGATTCTAGAAATATTTTATAATTTGTCGTATTCCTATAGAAAGCCTAATTACTTCATACTTTCAAGCAATAATGGTGAAAAATAACAGGGCTCTCAAATTACATTTAGTTCTTTAGAGACTTTCTCTTTTTTGTTAAGGCCTTTCTTTCACACAGCCTCCTCTTCACATCTCATTCGTTTTTCTCCTGAAAGTAAACTTTTCAAAGATTGAAATATCAGCTGAAGACTCGCAGTTATCCAGTCACAATGTCGTCAGCAGTCCAGCCCAGTTCATTCCCGAAAAAGTAAAAAGACAGCCATCTTCGTGTCTGTCTCAAATTGAACTCAATTTTCACTACAATATGTTATCAATCATAAGTGAGTTCTCATATTACCATAATATTGAATTATGAAGAAACTTGTTAACTTTAAGTTGATCGCAGCATGCTTTCAACTGACAATCTTCTAGAGACCAGTAAGTCCTTTAAGGTCTCAGATATCCTGTACTGATGAATACTGACAAAATAATAATAATATTTGCTTTATTCCAAAACAGTACTTGTGATACAGAGTGGAATTCTCAGCATTTCACTACACACAGTATTGCATCCAGTTTGTACATTAACAATGAATAAATTTCTACACAGATTAAGTGTAATCTCAATTAGTTTCGACAACAACATATTGGTATGTCGGTAGCAATACCAAAAATTGAACAGAATGTTTGAAGGTGTTAGAAAAGTAGATGGTAGCATATTTACTAGCGTAAGCAGAAGAAAGAAACAAAACAGCACATAACAGAGAAAAAAGAGAGATAGAAAAGGAAAAGAGAGAAAGAAAACGTTGTACCAATAAATGATATGAGTTGGAAAGACGAGATCCAGTAGTTCTACTGACTATTTAATAAGTCATAAGTTTCATGCCTAATGCTTTCTTTCTCGCACAGAACACGAGCTAAGTAGGTTATGGTTGAGTTTTTGTACTTGCTAGTGAGAGCGTATAGTTTTCTAAATGGGCTTCTGGTTCTGCCTGATGAGATACAAGGGGAGAGTTGTGAATGAAGAGGGTGGTGTGGGTTAGACAGGATGGATTGAGCCCATTTTTCACATGGGTCCATGTGTCTGTAAACCATAATATTAACAGGCTGGTTAAGTGGCACTCTGTGGCTTACCCTGCTGATAACCTTTAACATCCTGAGTAATAAGGTATAGTCTTTCTTCAGTAGCCCAGGAAAAACTAAGGTGGAACAATAGAGAATAATAGGCAGGATGCAAGAGTTAACGAATCGCAAGAGTAAGAGCTGGGTTAGGCTATTCAAGGATGTCTTAACTTCTTGGTGTAGAAGATAAGACGGAATATTTTCTTAGAAATCATCAAGATATGAGACGACCAGGAAAAATCAGCAGATAGAATGACGCCAAGATATTTTATTTCCGACTTGGTTTCTATTTCAGTGCCATCTGTGTTGCACACCTCGTGAGTGCTAACCAGTTTCTTTAAGTCAGATTGGTTAGCACTCTCGAGGTGTGCAACATAGATGGCATTGAAATAGAAACCAAGTCGGAAATTAAACTTAGGTCAACATATTCCCATCAACTGCTTACAACCGCCTGACATCAGTTTAAACTATGTAGATCTGGAAGTATCACACTCACCTTTTTGTCAAATATGTGTTCCTAACTCAGTAAAACAAAACATATTTAAAGAGTTTTGTACACAACAATTTGTCCAAGTAAAATTGTTTTGAAACATTGATCGCACCCATATATACTTCAACTTCGATGATGATACAATAATCCTAGAATGTGACTCTTGAAAATGCTTCATAATAAAGTATGATTGTTTTGGACTTCGAGGATTTTATACATGTGTGGAAAGAGAGCTCTGTGTTAGTTAGTATGTAGTTCCATATTAACTTATTTATCGGATATATATATATCACAAAATAAAAATGTATTATTTACCAGATGACAAAGTCTTGGGCACAATTTATTGTTCACAGACAAATAATCAATCAGTTCTCTTTTCTTCTTTCGCGTTTTTTGTAAGTGTAAGTGTAATTTTACAGATGTCTGGAACAGGTGTTGATTCCTTCCTAATTACTGTTCGACAAATAAAATCCCGGTTGTCGATTTTGCTCTTCCATCTTATTACACTCGATTTTAAGACTGTCATTTTATCTTATCCTGTTGTATGGTTTTTATGTTATACATACTTGATTTTTACTAAAATACTATATTTATTTTTAGACTGCTGATTGTATTTCCCGCCTCCTTCAGATATGACCTAGTAAACCTATTGGTTGTTGGCTGTTTAAACTTACCAGTGTAATATATATATATATATATATATATATATATATATATATATTCGCTCAATACTACTCAAGATCAGATTGCCGGTGAGAAAAAATCAGCAACAGTGAAGGATCTCTGGCAACGAGCGAACCAACCAGGAATCAACTGTACAAGAAATATGCAGGAAGAAATGGACGTGGATTGGCTGGTCATACTCTGAGGAAACCATCGAGCGAGATCACAAGCCAAGCCGTTGCTCGAGTGGAACCTGAATAGGAAGCGGCGAGTTGGTCGTCAGTGTGAGAGTGGCATGGAGGAGGTCATGTGGAGAGGAGGTGAAAGCGTCAAAGCAGACGTGGAGCCAGATAAAAACGCTGGTGGAGAACATAACGCAATGAAGAGGTGTGGCTAAAGCCATATGTTCCTCTTGGAACTAAAGGAAACAATAGTAATAATACTATCGGTAATAATTGTGACAACTCATCACCTTTGTTACACTACTCTAGTTTCATTACCACCCAATTTTCTTGATCGTTTTCGTGTTACGTAACTCTGCCCAAAACCCACTAAGTTTTACCCGTTTAGTTGAAATAACCATAACTAATTGTATTTTTGTTTGACAAACTTAATGAACACATGCATACAAAATAACTCATATATATATATATTTGGGATTTCACAGCTAAGAAAATAAATTCACTGAGGAAAAGTGACTCTTCGCTGAACTAAGTGTTTTTTTTTCAATAATTCCTCGATGGGGATTATTCATGAATTATGTTGAATCTGTCAATCATATCTGTGTTGTGCCTTGACCTCACGTCTCATATAGGTACCATCTTTCAGTTAGTTGCCACTGTGTAACTGTATATGGTTTATTTACCAAGGATACAGGTGATTGATAAGGTCATTAATTAGGCATAATTCCTCCCAGATGCCTCAGTTTCTTGAATTCATGCAAAAGCTTGAGTCATCAAATAATAAACATTAGGGAAAATTAATAACACAGTTTTTTTTTTACCGAAGATTTACTTACACATTCTAAAAAATGTTTTGACTCACCATTTTACCATTTAATTCATGATAGTGTATTGAGCACACCTTTTCTGCTGCTTGTTCATTTTCAAAGGTAACAAATCCGAAACCTGAAACAAGATATCGGAAAAACACATTCACTTGGTAACAGTAATTCCAATAATATAATAAACCAAGAGAACAAATCATTCAAATGATTAAAGTTTTGAAAATGACTGCATTGGCTTAAGAGTTTTGTGCTGTTAACTTCATAAAAGTTGGAATAAAAGCCAAGGCCAGTTGTACGGAAGTCAAGTGACCCGCTCCCTTATGCATAATGTCTCCTTGAATGACAGTCTTTATATCTCTTAAAATTTAATTCTTACATTACCTGATTAGTAATATACATCGACTGAATCCTTCATTTATTTAGGAAGCATTGTTTCAGCCACAGGTGGAATGTATGAGAATGACAAAGCAAGCCAGAATGGCAGTGGCAAGGCGCACCTTCAACACTCTGAATTTAGTTTGAAAATATTCTCCACTCATCGTAAACAACAAAATTCGGGTTTTAAACACTAATGTGAAGGTGTTAACGCCTAAAATTGATGTAGGACTCACTGAAAGCATTTTCAGCAGGCTGTTATGGCTTTTTATCAGCTATTATGGCCCTTTCTAGCTCTATACCGACGGTCAGTTAGCCAGAAAGAATAAACAATGAGCCGATTGCTCAAAAAATATACGAAAGAAAATGATGATGAACTGGATATACGCTATGGAGACCGTTGAAATCAAACGCCAGTTTACCACTGAAGTGGAACCTCAGTGAGAAAAAGGGAGGACAACATTGAGGAAATCGTCAGAAAAGGAGATCAGACACTTTTATCAATGGTGGACCTAAATGTAGAGGACAGCAGAAAGTAGATAAAAATTGGAAACATGCTGCTGAAGCCGTATAATCCATTCGGAAACAATGGCAGTAATTATAATGATAATGGTAATAAATCCAGAAAGTAAATTTTGTTCTGTACAACACCCCGGTACACTTTGCAGTAGTCTATAGAGAGATTTAAAGTCTTATAAGATGGTTGCAGGCAGTCAGCAGAAAGCCTTGGATCTGGGTTTCCTGCCAGATGACAGTCGCCAGCTAGGCATATCTGCAACGTTGAAGGAACTTATGTCCCTTCTGAGATTATAACTTGCGTCATCCAGTGCCGGCTTCAGTCAGAAACCTCTAGGTCCAATGCTTCCTATCAATTGCCTGTAATTATCTAATATCATCAAATCAATGAGCATCGTGATGGTGAGTTAACTAGAATGGTGGCGACATTACAAACTTGACTGATGGAATTCAGTCTGCACCAAAGAAAGGACTAGGCACATCACAATAAAGTCCAATACAAGATTCAAAGTCTTCATACTCCCATGACTCCAAGCATCACTTCAGTTTAGCATATCTGCACTTCAATTTGGCGACAACATACAAACATTTATTCATGAAACTCAAATAAACAAGCTTCAAAAATAGATGACTATTACAACACACTAGTTTTTTCCAGCAACAAATGATTAATTCAAATTTTAAAATAAAATTTAGTCTCTAAAACTTAAGGCTAAATCCGCTCTCAAGATTCCAGTTTTTATTGATTATCAATCAGGTAACAGTAAATTAAGTTTTCTTGTCTGTTTCGGAAAAGGAAATCTATTCAGTAATTTTAGTCTTTCTTTTATTACCCATAGAAATGTTTACTATCTCGTTGATTGTTACAAACATTTTCATCAGCAGGGTTTCATTCAACATTGTTAACGATCCATCCAAATGTAAGGAAATTATCAATCCTATTGTACAAATGAAGAATTCAGACGACACACACCCTGATAAATCGTAAATACTAAAAAAAAGAAGGCGTTCAGCAAAGAGTAATACTTGTTGGTATTAGATGGTTTGAGACAATCGGGCATAGGAAGTCTTGCCTGTACCTAGATCTCGTGCTAGTTGGCACTCACCGGTCAGCAAGGCGTATCTGCAAACTTGTAGGAATTTATCTCTCTTCTGGGATTCCAACCCACGTCACCTCACCCAGTGATGCAGTCAGCCAAACCACCTAGTATGGTGGACACATTGCAAGCTTGACTGATAGAATTCAGTCTGCACTGAAGATAAGACTGGACACATTACACACTAGTTACTGACTAGTGTTCAATCAAAAATAGTTAGTCTTTCCGGCGATATCACTCTAAAACTATACAATCGCGTATGGAGAGTCAGTTATCTTAGCAAGAAAATGAATATCTTAAAAATTTATCATTAGAATTGTAGATTATAATTAATAAACTTTGCTAGTGGTTCAGAAACTAAAGTATGATTAAATAAGCATGCCGCGTTACGTAATTTAATTGACTGTGTTGATTACAGCTCAGCTAAAATTATCTAGACTAACTATGTCTTATGAACTAAAATACAGATAAGATAATTTAAAATTAGATAATGAAGAAAAAATGGTTAGTTTTGACATTGTTAGTTTACATACACGTTTACCAATAAATATAGCTATAGAGACAGTCAGAAACGAACTCATTTCTGACTAAGAATTCGAACTTAGGATGAGAGTGCCACTTGAGGTGGAAGTGCAGCTATGCCTGACTTCCACAGTATTTAAATTCTTCCGAAAGAAAAATCCCAAACAAACTGAGGGAGTTGCATGGGACCACCAATAACCCTGATTGTAGCAGATATATTTATGGATAGGTGGGAAACCATACCGATTGAAACGTTCATCCCCACAGCCAAAAGTATGGTGGAGGTGTTTAGATGACAGATTCGCTGTATTTAGAACACAAGATATAGACAGAATTTCCGAACAAATCAACTCGAAGGTGGAGGCAATTCAATTCACTTATGAATTGGAAAGTCAAGAAGGGAAGCTTCCAATGTTAGATTGCAACGTGAAAAGGAAAGAAGATGGGAAGTTAAACACTAGTGTTTACAGAAAACCCACACATTCAAACAGATACTTGGATTTCCAATCATCCCATCCTATGTCAGTAAAAATAGAATTGTTGAAATGTTTAAGTGACAGAGCACAAAACTAAGTAGTACAAAGAAAAATCTAAGACAGGAAGTGATACATATAAGAGAAGTCGTGAAACTTAATAATTACCCTGATAAATTAGTCAGGAAATATGTAGGGAAATGTAAAAATAAAATAAATAAAAAATGATAGTAGCGATAGTGATAATAATAACAACAATAATAGTGACGACATCAACAATAGGCAATCTCAATCATCAGTAGTAATTCCATACAAGGAAGGCACCTTGGGAGCTTTACACAGAATTCTTAACAAGGCAGAAATAAAGGTGGCATTCAAACCAACCACAGACTCAATAAGAAACAAGCTTTGTCGGCTCAAGGATCTGCATTGTGAAGCCTTTAAAACAAAACAATTTAGTTTATCGCATACCCTGACTGCAATGATTGTCAGGTCAAATACATAGGTCAAAGTAGTAGAACAAGTGCAGTGAGTCAGACTACAAGAGCATAAGAATCTAGCAAAATCTAGATCGGTTAACCGGAATAATAAGATAATAAATCTAGAGAATCGTTCAGCTATAGCACTCACTTCAGGCTGTTACACACAACTATAAAACAGGATGGGGTAGGATGAAAGTTGTAAGATCTAATGTCACAGCAGGATGGAGGGAGAGATTTATAGCAGAAGCTTTGTTTATCGAATCAACTGCAAAAACGTGTAATAGGAATGATTCAACACCTGTACAGCCGAATATCTGGAAAATTCTACTACCCGTACGACGACAAGTAGGAGAGAACAAAGAAAGCCAGAAAACTGAAGTTTCGAAGTCGTGTGATAATAATTGAAGATTTGATTATGAATAATAATGAATTGTGTTCGAAACTGTGTCATCCAGTAAATAACACTGTTTCAATGTGCGACACATCTAATAAACAAACCAACATGGAATTACTTACTACCACAGTGCCCATGTTTTACACATATATTAAGATCTAAAATTATAACGGGACAAAATTCAGGTCAGCGACGGTAGTAATAGGCGGTAGAGATTTATTAAGGGGTGGGGGAAGAAAATATTATGCAATTAAGGAACAAACAAATAAAAATAAAGAGACGAAACAAAAATTAAGTATTTGTTGTTAAGATAGGTCAGGTCCACTGTAGATTTAATGACTGGACAAACTTGTTTTGTAGGCGGAGTCCAGGTTTTAATATGTGAATTGTGTGTCGGTGACACAGTGGTTAGGACTCTCATCGACCATGCATATGGCCCGAAGTTCGATTCTCTGCCGACCTACACCTGATATCTATGGTTAGCCTGCGAAATTTGGGCTACCGATATCACATACTGAAAATTCCATACCTGTACCAAAATAATAAGGTGTGGAATCAAGCTGTAATCAAAAATAAACAAAAATTTCTTCTGCGGTTTGAAGAATTTTGATTCGTACGCTTTTAGCAAGATTCCCTTGTATTCTGTAAGTGACTTTGAATTTACTTCGCTGGTTTGCTTGTTGTTCTGATTCCAAAAAGCGTTCGTACCTTTTCAAGAAACTCAAGCTCTTTCTCTGATTTCTCTATAGAGTATATTCTCCTCGCTCTATAGTACAGAGTCTTGACTAGTCCACGTTTAATTTTGATGTAGTTTTGTTCTCTGAGCTCAGAGAACAAAACCACATCAAAATCATCCACCTGAGCTACAAATCTTCTCTATCATAGTCCACGTTTAAGGCTGTCTATTTGAACAAAAGCTATTAAAATGTAAGTATTGTCCTTGCCATATAGGCTTTCTATAAATTGACTTTTGAAGACTACCGTTTTCTAGGCGTCCTATGGCAATGTCAACGAAGTGAAACTTTCCATCACTTTCATGTTTCATAGTCAACTTAATATTGGTGTGTGCACCATTGAATAATCTGACTAAGTGTGAAGCATAACTTTCGTTGTTGAACACACACTACAAATTTGTCATCAAGATATCGACTTTGTTCTTTCAGAGTTGGAGATGAATATATCTGCGAAAACAGGGCTAAGTGGACTGCCCATAGCTACACCATCTATCTGGCAGTAAAGAGTCTTATAAAATTGGAATTGCA